CTTACGGGTTTGCGATGTGGCTGCAGAGAGATCATTGTAGAGTGCTAATTTGGTGTAGGGATCAGGCAGAGGTCACATAGATCTTGCAGCCTGCATGATTTGTTCCTTAACATGGAAAAAATGGATACGGGCTAGGATATCCCTGGGAAGAGAAAGCGGCAAGTGTTGCGGTTTGTGGATCCTATGAGCCCTGTCTATCAGCATGCCTTGAGGCGAGAGCGTGGGCAGGAGTTTGCAAAATAGTTGGTGGAGGAATGGTATTAACTCAACCAGGGTTATGGATTCAGGTACTTCCCTTATTTTAATATTTTTTTCAACAGGAGCGTTCCTCCAGGTCTGTGACTTTTAAGCGCAGTTGTCTAATAGCTTCTGCTTGTTCATCCTAGATATCTACAACCGCATTATGGGCTATGGTGGCTGAGGAAAGGTGCTGCTCAATATGCTCAATCCACTCTTCTAGAAGCTCAATTTTGTGATGTAGTTGAGAGACAGAGGAGTGTAGTTCATTTTTCAAGTCAGCCTGCAGGGAGAGTAATATGGCCTTTAAAGAATGTTCTGAAGCAAGGTTGTCTGAAGTTGGGAATGCTGCCAGTGTTTGTGTAGGAAGACTGTTGGTCGTGGGACTACAAGTCTCAGTGCCATGCTTCTTCTTCATAGGGGGAATTTAGCACGAGACTATGCTGGGGAGTTAGCAACCCTCTTACGTCTGTCAGCAGGGGAGGAAGGCTGCTGCATAGGAGTGTTTGCTGATTCCTCCATCTGTAGGGATGAGTCTTCTTCAGTCCCAGGTGTGGGCGGTAGCTCCTGGTCCCCTCGAACCATGCCGGCGCCATGTTGATCCAGGAGCTGTGAGGGCCAAATGAAGAACTCAAGGAGTCTGTGTGATCCCTGGTGTTGGGGCCGTTTGCGGGTCATAATCCGTGGGACCAGAGAGGGAATCCTCTGCAGAGGTGCCAGTTCTGTTGGTCTGAGGCGTTGGATGGCGCTTATTTGTGTTGCAGAGGAGCGGAGCTATGTATTCAAGCAGCTATCTTCTCCAGCAGCAAGGCCATGCCCCCAAAGGGTCTATAATTTTTTATCATAGGTGTATTTTAAATGATAGAGTATCAACCAAAAATCCAGAAAAAACACGATACAAATGTTATAAATTAAGTTGCAGTACAGTGAGTAAAATACGTATTTGATCCCCAAGCAAAACATGACTTAGTACTTCATGGAGAAAACCTTCTTTACAGATCTTCTCTAACTCTTTAGGGTTTCTTGGCTGTAGCGTGGCAACTCGAAGTTTAAGCTCCCTCCATATATTTTCTATAGTATTAAGGTCTGGAGACTAGCTAGGCCACTCTATGACCTCAATGTGCTTCTTCTTGTGCCATTTCTTTGTTGCCTTGGTGGTATGTTTTGGGTCATTGTCATGCTGGAAGACCCATCCATGACCCATCTTCAGTGTTCGGCTGAGGGAAGAAGGATCTTATCCAAGATTCAATACATGGCTCCCATCCATTGGCCCCTCAGTGTGGCAAAGTCAGCCTGTACGTTTAGCAGAGAAACATCCCAAAGCATGTTTTCACCTTTGTGCTTGACTGTAGGGATGGTGTTCTTAGAGTCATAGTTAGCATTTTTATTCCTCCAAACGGTGAGCCAAGTTAATGCCAAAGAGCTCAATTTTGGTCTCATCTGACCACAGCAGTTTCTCCCAATCCCTCTCTGAATCATTTAGATGCTCATTGGCAAACTTCAGACGGGCCTGTACATGTGCCTTCTTGAGGAGGGGGACCATGCAGAATTTAAAATATATGGCGGCAAAATCTTGCATGGAGCTTCCGACTGAGAGCAATTGATGGTTTATTTTGTATTTCTCCTATTTGCGAACAATCGCTCGAACAATGGTCTCCTTCTCACCAAGCTTCTGGCTGATGGTCTTGTAGCCCATTCCAATCTTGTGCTGGTCTACAATTGTGTCCCTGATATCTTTTGACAGCTCTTTGGTCATTTGCCCATGATGGTGAGGTTCAATGAAATAAAGATTCTGTGGACAGGTGTCTTTTATATACGTAAGTTTTCCTGAGGAGCACCTTCTTAATTTGATAGGACTAATCTGTGTACCACATGAGCACATAGCCAGTCTGTGGGAGCCAGAATTATTGTTGGTTGGTAGGGGATCAAACACTTATTTTACTCACTGAACTACAACTCAATTTATAACATTTGTATCATGTGTTTTTACTGGATTTTTGGTTGACATTCTGTCTCTATCATTTAAAATACATCTATGACAAAAATTATAGACCCTTCATTTCTTTGTAAGTGGGCAAACTTACAAAATCTGCAGGGGATCAAATAATTATTTTCCCCACTGTATAATGCTGCATTAATATGCCTTTTATGTCCTGCAGCCCCAGGCTGCAGGCCCAGGCAGCAGCCAGGTAACACTCCCTTTGTGACTATAGTTTATGCATTTAAGCCCTTCAAGAGTTCAGACACATTACAGTGAAGTCTGTAATGTGTCTCTGAACTCCTGAAGAGCTTAAACGACTTTGAACTTCCAAGGGAATCTCTGATATCAGTGCAGGAAACCTTGAGCAATTTCTACCCTCACTGTGAAGATTGTGTATATGCTGTGCACTGCTACACTGCAATATATTGCATTTATTGTGTGCAAATAGATCTCAAGCTCATGCCTACTTCACAATGGAGATGAAAAGAGGGTAGCATTTCCTGAGTGTCATCTTGCTGTTAAACATTAGTGCCAAGATCTTTGGTTATTGATGTTGTTCCTCAGTATGGTCTGATTAAGAGTTTAAGACGTCTCTTGCTTGGGATCACTATACAACACAATCTACCTAAACTGCCCTGAAGCGGCAAGCTCAATTACGCATTTCAGCCTACATTTCCAGGGGATTGCAGCATTCCAAGCCTGTTCACCATGTTCACCTAGATGGATTAGACCATAAGACCAATAGCTGGCATACATTTACGCAATTGGTAAACGATGTAAAAAGAAAGACGGACCTGATGCAGCGACCATGGTTGCCAAACAGAATGTCAATTTTGATTCTTATGACCACAGTACAGCTGTCATCAATTTCAAAAAATTCTTTTTTTGTTTTGTTTTTTAATTGTATATTTTCTCAGTTTAAACATCTGGTGTGTTTTCTTTTTTCTATTGTGAATAAAATATGGGTTTATGAGATTTGCAAATCATTGCATTCTTCTTTCATGTAGATTTTACACAGCATCCCAACTTTTTTAAAATTGGAGTTGTACCTAGGTCTGTTTACAAACTATCAATGGTAACACTTCTGGTCCCCACTGTCAGGTGTTTTCTGCCATAATTTTGGAAACAACAAACACCCTTCATTGCCATGTGGTTGGCAAAAGTAAATTTACAAAATGGAAGACGTTACCTCAACAAATAAGGGCTATTGTGGAAAATTCAAGAAATGGTACTACTGGAAGGAAATTTCATGTACATCGGAATATAAACATTTACTGGAAGCAAAGTAATTGACTGGTCTGTAAAGGACAAGGCCTTGGCCATCTGACCCATGACAAAGAGGAGGGGACAGCTCCCCCCTTCTTCCCCCCACCCTTCCTTTGTCAATACCCCTCCCCCTTTCTTTTAGCTCATAACTTCTAATCCATCCCTTTCCATATCTATTAATTGTACACCTCTTCTGAATTTCTTGCTGTTCTGCTGGACCTACTTAGGTCTACTGATATATTTTTTGTTTACATATGCTGGTAAAAAATGAAAGTGCTTGCACAATGACAATTTAGACCCAGATGGTTCCAACTATTCTCTTATTTCCATGTTGTTCTTGCTAATATGTGGCAACTCACTTGATTCTAAAGACTGTGTACAAGGAATAAGACATATTGTTACCTGAGATGCTGTTTATGTGTTCATGTTGAACCTCAGTGTTAAGTGTACGTTTCCCAAATTCAAAATAAAGAATTTTCAAAAAAAACAAACAAAAAAACAAAAAGAAAAATAAATCATACATGTGAGGTAGGGAAGGCATATTCAATAAGGAGTTTTAATTGAGGATAGTAGGGTAAGAACCCCCTTCCTTCAACAGCAACCTCAAGGTACTGCTCAAGGGAATTCCGAAAAAGACGCTCACCTTTGAAAAGCATGCACTAAAGGCTCCTTTCTTAAGCCCAGTCAACTGAACAAGCTTTGACCACATGACCAACACTTCAACAATTCTAACACTTTATATACAGTGGATATAAAAAGTCTACACACCCCTGTTAAAATGTCAAGTGTCTGTGATGTAAAAAAAATGAGACAAAGATAAATCATTTCAGAACTTTTACCACCTTTAATGTGACATATAAACTGTACAACTCAATTGAAGAACAAACTGAAATCTTTTTTTTTTTTTGGGGGGGGGGGGGGGGGGGGTTGGGGGGTAAACATACAAAACTAAAATAATGTGGTTGCATAGGTGTGCGCATGCTCTTATAACTGGGGATGTAACGGTGTTCAGAATTAAGCAATCACATTCAAAATCATGTTAAATAGGAGTCAGTACACACCTGACATCATTTAACCACTAGCCTACTGGGCACTTATACCCCCTTCCTGCCCAGGCCAATATCCAGCTTTCAGTGCTGTCGCACTTTGAATGACAATTGCGCGGTCATGCAACACTGTACCCATATGAAATTTTAATCATTTTTTTGAGACAGAGATTTCTTTTGGTAGCATTTAATCACCTCTGGATTTTTTATTTTTTGCTAAACAAACCAAAAAATGCTGAAAATGTTAAAAAAAAAAAAGGTTTTTCTTAGTTTTTGTTTTAAAATTTTGTCAATAAGTGATTTTTCCCCTTCACTGATATGCGCTAATGAGGCTGCAGTGATGGGCAGTGATAGGTGGCACTGATGATGAGGCACTGGTAGTTGGCACTGATGGACATTGACAGGCATTGCTGATGGGCACTGAAAGGCAGCACTCATATATGGCACTGATAGGCGGCACTGATAGGTGGCACTGACTGACACTGATAGGCAGAACTGACTGGCACTGTTAGGTGGAACTGACTGGCACTGTTAGGTGGCACTGATAAGCGGCATTGACTGGCACTGAGAGGTGGCACGGATTGGCAGCACTAATAGGTGGCACTGACTGGCATTGATAGGTGGCACTGACAGGTGACACTGAAAGGCAGCTCAGATGAGCACGGATATGTGGCATTGATGTGCACTGGTAGGCACTGATATGTGGAATTGACGTAGCACTGATGAGCACTGACAGCTGGCATTGATGGACACTGACAGGTGGCACTGCTGGGGCTACACTGATCATCAGGGCACACTGATGATCAGTGCCCTGATGATCAGTGTACATGTCCCCTCCAAAGAATGCCGATTACCGGCTCTCCTCTCGAGCTGTCAGAGTGACAGCTCATGAGGAGAGAAATGCCGATAACCGGCATTTCACTATTTACATGAGATCAGCTGTGATTGGACACAGCTGATCACATGACCGAGCCGAAATCTTCGGCTCTTTTCATTGATCTGCTGTGTCCGAGGGATCGCCACGCTGCGTGCTTAGAATGGGAGGATGTCATATGACGTCCTCCCAGAACGAGAGAACCACCTTGCGCTCATCATTGCCTTATATGGCGGGAGGGCGGGAAGTGCCTTTGATTAACCCCAAATAAAGTTCAGCTGTTCTAGTAGGTCTTTCCTGACATTTCCAGAGGTGGTGATAGCCATTGAAATAGATCAGACATAGTAGCATAAAATTATACTTTAGTAAGAAGGGCCACATGTTGCGCATCTATGGGAGAGCGCTATTAAGAGGGCTGGAGCATGGTCACTGCAAAACCTTGCTCAAGAACAGCTATCAACGTGAGAGGACACAATATTTTTCTCAGCGTCTGCAGCTGAATCCCCTCTGTTTGAGCCATTTTTTTCTCACTACCAAGAGCTCGTAATCTACCACTGCTAAATTGGGATCTGCTCTCTGCGGGGTACTGACAGAATGGATGTGAACTGAGGAGGTTCAGCATGTTCAGTACAAAGAAACCACTCACACTGGAGGGGCTGAATTGCTCATTTAGGGGTGCAGTGGTAAGGTGTCTCATGCACTTTATTTCTGGCTTCCTCAATCCACAAACAATGTAGGGTTAATAGCCCTGAACTGTGTGATGATGCCAAGGAGCTATCCACAGCCCACGGTTGGCTTTGTGCCATTCCTAGAGGTCAGCTTTGAACATTTTGAAGATTAGTTTTGAAATAGGAAAAACATGCATTACATTTTAGTGAGTCAGTGTACATGCTCAACTTGCTCTCCTCCGATGATTTGAATTGTGCCCACCCCCCCACACAGCTGTTCACTGGGAAGATCAGTGTATTGTTGTTTTTCCTCCCCCAGCTCTCTAAGCTTCCTACGCAGCTGAGGGCAGAGGGTATGTGATTACCTATATAAAGAGGGTAATAAGGTATTTATAATTTGTTTTATATCTATACACAAATGTTTTGCTTTTAATTTCTATTTTAATGGGTTGTTTTACAAGGTGAGGATTCACATAACCTTTACTCAATCCATCTCTCTGTATTTTATAATTATTTTAATACATAGTTTGTGTTAAGCAGCATTTTGTACATGAGTGTTAATATGTAAATAAAGGATATACAGTACATATGCATTTGAGAACCCAGTGTTTCTCAACTTTTTTTCCAATCGGGGCGCCCTTGAAAAGTATTTTCAGTCATGAGGCACCCCTGTCTAGGGCTTGGTTCACGTTACTGTGTGTCGCAGAATGCACGCGAAATCGCACTCATTCCTGACACGCAGACAAATGCTCTGCTCTTTTGGGGTACCTCATACATTGACAAATGTGGGGTGTTTTTGGTGTGGTGCAATTTTAAAACTAAGGTCAGGGATGACTTTCCCTGCATTTTTGCGGGTAAGGCAGCCCATTGAAATGAATGGGCTGCCCTACACAGCCACACAGATGTGAACCAAGGGCCTGTTCACCTGTGAGGTTGGAGGGTGGTAAAACCACGCAATTGAGCTGCTTTTACCACCCCCAACTGCTCCCCCTTTAGCTGCAGAAACAGCAGCTGGAGGTATACCTCCAGGTGAATAGAGTTGAACTAAAACCACCCCGCAACTGTGTGCGCATTGCACACAGGTGTGGTGTGGTGATTGATGCTGGGGTAAACCAAGTGGTGAGGAGGCAACATATTGCCTCTTTACCACCTGTCAAATGCCTCTGAAAAGTGATCTGATCATGGATTGCTTTTCAGAGGAGCAGAAGTCCTTGCTGCTATTACGAACTAGTCCTAAAAAAGCAGTTCTGATAGGACAGGAATAGGGGGTCAAGATTAAAAGTAAAATACATATACATACATATGAAAACAAACACACACATACAAACATGTACACACACATGTACACATACACACGTACACATGTATACACACACACACATAAATACACATGTACACATATACATGTATACACATGTACATAAACACACATGTACACATACACGTATATACACACACATAAAACACACGTACACACACACAGGTACACATACACACACACACGTATACAGCATTATGAAAAGTTACAGTATCTTAGCTTCCATCACACAGCCGGGTACTGCACTCTAGGGGGAAGCAGAGAGCACAGAAGACACTCCCCTTCCCTTTGCTTTCACCTTGCTCAGCGGTCTGATGGCTCCCAGTACCGACGTACAGTGGAGCTGGAGATCAGGAGCTCGGGCTCAAGTGACAGCAATTCTCCCCACGGCACCCCTGAAGACCTCTGGCGGCAACCTGGTTGAAAAAGGCTGTGATAACTAATGAGTAATTATAATTAAAGATTATGTGATAAATGTCCATCTCCACTTGTGCCGAAAAAAAACTGGAATTTAGCACCAGTCGCTACTTTTTTATATCAGCCTGCAAACTGCATGTTCCCCAGTGCTGAGCGAACAATAAAAGACTAGAACAGGAGAGAAAAGCACACTGCGGTATAAGGAAGCAGGACTAGATGGAGGTGTAACAGGTTTGGAGTTCAGAGGACACTAAACATAAAAGAGAAATGAGATGCTTCAAATGCATTCATTCCACATGTGTTTGATATAAAAAGTGATAGATATCATGTTACAAAGGAGCTGTAACATAAAATACCTCTTTTACACTCAGGGCAACCCAAAGGTCATCCCTATAGTCAGCAAACTCCGCTGAGTTGGACAAAGCAGTGGAGTTGAACACAGAACAAAAGGATAAAATCCATTTCAATTCCTAAAGCTTATGTTACATAAAAAGTGTCACACTACTGACTGATGAGAAAAAGGAAGAGGGCAGATGGAAGCAAAGACAAATTGGCATGTCTAGAAAAGGGTTAGGTAAATGTAATAAGAATGAGCTATCCCATTAAACCAGTCTGTGGTACATGAATTCTACAGGAATCGCAGAACATGATGCAACGTAGAGGTAATTACATTTGAATGGTCACAAGGTTTCAGCTTATGGAACATTGAATAGAACAAATCAGACATCCTGTACTATACATGATTGATCCTTAAAATGGCATATTAAAACTATTTTAGAAAGTTTTAATTGGAAAGGGAAATGTTGAAAAGAAATCAGAGAAAAAGCCCAGCAACAGCAGAATAATTTCAAGTAAATGACGAGTGGGAGACGGGTAGGCTTGTGACTCCCATTCTGTCTTTACTGTATATCACAGTCATTCAAACCACTGTAACCTGTATCAAAAAGGCAAGCCTTTCAATAGGAAGTAAGGTCGCCAGCTACAAAAAAAAAATTTGATCTAATGCAAGTCCAGTTTCTATTACTATGTTTTCTGCAAAAGTAAATTTTAAGAAGCAATTAGCATACAGTGAACAATAGATATAGTATTATAAATGAAAACCAAACATTTAAATCCTAATGGGTTAGGCCACAAGTACTTTGCAAACCACTGAGCAAGTTAGAAGATCTCTAGAAAAGGTACAGTGAAGGAAATAAGCATTTGATCCCCTGCTGATTTGGAATGTTTGCCCACTCACAAAGAAATGATCAGTCTAAAAATCGAATGGTAGGTGTATTGTAACACTGAGAGACAGAATAGCAACAAAAATTCAAAAGAAATGCATATCTAACAAATGATGCACTGATTTGCATGTTCAGGAGGGAAATAAGTATTTAATCCCCTTCACAAAACATGACTTAGTACTTGGTGGCAAATCCCTTGCTGGCCATCACAAAGGTCAGACGTTTCCTGTAGTTGGCCACCAGGTTTGCACACATCTCAGGAGGGATTTTGGCCCACTCCTCTTGGCAGATCCTCTCCAAGTCATTAAGGCTTGGTGGCTGACATTTGGCAACTTGAACTTTCAGCTCCCTCTCCAGATTTTCAATCGGATTAAGGTTTGGAGACTGGCCACTCCATGACCTTAATGTGCTTCTTTTTGAGCCACTCCTTTGATGCCTTGGCCATGTGTTTTGGGTCATTGTCATGCTAGAACACCCATCCACAACCCATTTTCAATGCCCTGGCTGAGGGAAGAAGGTTCTCACCCAAGATTTGACGGTACATTGCCCTGTCCATCGTCCCTTTGATGCGGTGCAGTTGTCCAGTCCCCTTAGCAGAAAAACACCCCCAAAGCAGAATGTTTCCACCACCACATTTGACAGTTGGGATGGTGTTCTTGGGGTCATAGGCAGCATTCCTCTTCCTCCAAACAGTAGTTGAGTAGATGCTAAATAGCTTGATTTTGGTCTCATCTGACCACAACACTTTCAACCAGTCCTCCTCTGCATCATTCAGATGTTCAGTGACAAACTTCAGATGGGCTTGGACATGTGCTTTCTTGAGCAAAGGGACCTTGCGGGCACTGCAGGATTTCAATCCTTGTCGGCGTAGTGTGTTACCAATTGTTTTCTTGGTGACTGTGGTCCCAAGCTGCCTGGAGATCATTGACAAGATCCTCACATGTAGTTCTGGGATGATTCTTCACTGTTCTCATGATTATTGACACTCCACGAGGTGAGATCTTGCATGGTGCACCAGACCTAGGGAGACTGACAGTTGTTTTGTGTTTCCATTTTCAAATGATTGCGCCAACTGTTGTCACCTTCTCACCAAGCTGCTTGGCGATAGTTTGGTAGCCCAATCCAGCCTTGTGTAGTTCTACAATCTTGTCCATGACATCCTTGGACAGCTCTTTGGTCTTTGCCATGGTGGGAGAGTTTGGAATTTGATTGTTTGATTGCTCCTGTGGACAGGTGTCTTTTATACAGGTAACAAAATGAGACTAGCAGCACTCCCTTTAAGAGACTGCTTCTAATCTCAGCTTGTTACCTGTATGAAGGATACCTGGTAGCCAGAAATCTTGCTGAATGATAGGGGATCAAATACTTATTTCCCTCATGAACATGCAAATCAGTGCATAATTTGTTAGACATGCATTTCTTTTGATTTGTTTTGTTGCTATTCTGTCTCTGTGTTACAATACATCTACCATTCGATTTTTAGACTGAT